TAGAAAAAAAAGATGAAAGATGGACAGTCTGTATTGAGACCCTATTATTGGAGTGGTGGTATCCCGGCCCGGGGAGGGATAAACTAGTGTATAGTTTGCTAAGTTTTTCTAAATAGGCATAGAGTTGGTACAAGGGAGAGGCTGACCAATTGTTTCAAGTCTTCTGATAATAAAACCAGGGGGGAAGGTCTTCAACTAGAATAGGACAAGCTCAGAGAGGTTGAAAAGGAATGTCTGAATTTCAGGGGATTGCGAGCTATCTCAGATGGCCAAGGGAGGTGATGAGCTTTCTGCCCAGGGTTTAGGTGCACATATCCCTGAAGTATGGGATAATAAATATATTAATAGGTTTATAAATATACTTATTGAATTATGCACAAGTAATTTTAAGTTCTCTTGCTCCTTACTGCTTGGTATCTGTCAAGGGCCTAGGTCACCCAGGAGCCTGTTAGAAGCATAGAATACTGAATCCTCATTTTTAAAAAGATCCTCATGGGAAGTGTATCTTTTCCTTCTATAGAGGACTCTGCTACACATAATTAAAAGCAGTATTTAAAATTCTTAAAGTAATCCTAAAAAGCTTTTATCATAGTGTAGCTGACAGAGTGAAAGCTGTCTGGTGATCATATTTTCCTTCTCATTTTTTCAAATGCCATTAGTTAGATGCCTTATTGAACATCTCCAAAGGCATCCATTGAAAGTTGTTTTTATAAATGTCAGAAAATCAGATTTATAAAGTTCTTACAGAGGCAAATAAACTGATTTTCATAACTGGCCTCCTCTTTCAGCTAATTCTTACATAAATACTATGACAAGCGCAAAATTAGTAACGATGTGTCCATAAAACAGCAGGTCTGAAATCAACTACTGATTCAAGTGTGGCCTCAGTGGAATCATCAGTGAAAGAGAAGCCAATGGCTGGATTCGGGTCTGGACTCGTGTTGCTAGCTAGCTGTGTCACTCATCCTTCCTGGGCCTTGGTTTCCTCATCTGTGAAATAAAGAACAGCTGAGACAACTTCTAGGGCTTTTAGATCTTTAATGTTCTAAGATCCCATGAGCTACGGTACTCTCAACAAGAGCATGGGAAATCGAATTTTCCTTAATTCACTGTATTTAACCCTCCCATTATCTGTATGAACCACCAATGAAAGGGCGAGCTGCTGGAAACCAAAGTGTCTAAATACCAAACAGATGAACGGAAACACCTTTATTCAGAGCAGGAGGGTGTGGACGTTAGAGCCGAGAAGGGTGAGCACCTCACGTACTCCCTGCAAACAGCTGGCAGTTCAGCCCAGCTGCTCCCAGATCAGACAAGTGCAGGCTGCTCACCCACGTGCAATTATGTGTGAAGTACAGCAAATCTAAAAATAGCCTGCGCTCAGCCACGGAGATTAATACTGTCAGTGGCTTTCAACTCAACTGTCAGGACGACAAGAAGGGGAGTAACTATAGCAACAGAAAAATCAACACATACAAAAACTCTTCTAAAGTTGACAGGAAAGTTTAGGTTTAATAAAACACGTATTTTCGATTCTTATCTCTGAATCTTTGAATTCAAATAGTTCAATTATGTGGAGGAAATAAAATCAGAATTTTGGTAGAGTTTTGACAAAACAAATACCCCTTCAGTTTTGGGCTCCAGAACCATGAGGAGGTACCGCTAACCTGTCAATCTGACCTCTATCATTTACCTAATTAAAAGGCTATTGGAGCAAATGCCATTAAATAATTTTTACCTGAGAGGCTTCTCCCTATATTCGTTTTGCTATTAGTTATAAAAACAGCCTTGAATAGTACTTGATATTCAAAGATATTTATTGCATGTCTGAGGAAAACAATTGGTGATATGGAATTCTCTTGAGATGAATGGAACTTAGTGAAAATAATTAACATTAGGGAAGGATCCAGAGCAATAACTCCTAGAATACGTTTCTCAGAGAGTTCTCGCATAATGGGGGCTCAGCAGACCTCAGATCTTGAAGTGCTGATGCATCAAGTTCTGATAAAGCTATTCTTGCTCAAGGAGCTCACAAGCCTAATCTTAGAACCAGCATACCCCAAATTCTAGCATCGTTTTGCATTATTGGATAAAGGAATACTCAAGTGGGTGCTGGGAAATGTGGTATTGGTCCCAGGTTTTCAGCTACTAGTTGTGGGGCCCTAGACAAGTTGCTGTTCAGCTCTATGGCTGTGGGCTAGGTGAACCTCTCAATTCTTCCCCGAGAAGAGAGAGTTGAAGAGTTAAAGGGAAAGAAGAGATGATTTGTGTGGAATACCCACTTTGGGCTGTGCCCTATGCTAGGGTTTAAAAATATATCTGACAACAAACTGGCAAGATAGATATTTTTATCTCCATTTCATATATGAGAACACATTCATAAACAGGCTGAACTGAGTGACAGAGGCTAGATTCAATCCTAGGTCTGTTTGCTGCCACACGAGGTTGTCTTTCTTTCTCGGATACCACTTCGGCAATGGACTCTTGCCTGCTATGTACACAGGTGTTAGTTACATGCACTTAGACCATCACAGATTTTCAGTGCATGTCTTATATTTTCTAAGAATGGAAGATTAGGCCCCTTGGAAAGTCCTTTTACAATCTTCCTTTCACTAGGCAACCACTGTTAACAGTATTTTCACATCAAATATATACCATTCTGCCATCTGCTTTTTTCATTTAATAATCTGTCATGAACATTTCCTTATGTTAATAAATAAAAAACCATTTTAATCTTTATAAAGATTGCATTATTAAATTATATTCAATCCCTTACTAATGGATATTTCAGTTGTTCCAATTTCATTCTCCTTTAATAATCAGAAATAGAAAAATATCACATGGAAATAATACTAGGGTATTAAAATAATTTTTTAAGGAAGTATGATAAGGCAAAAACTAAATCAAGACCTTCACCTTAATTAATCTTCGTGTTTCCTTAAATCGTTGCTTAGAATCAACGTTGCCTATAATATAGGAGCATCCCTTAATATATCACTATTATATTATGCGGATGAAATGAAATGCATCTGAGGCCCTGAGATCCAGAATTCTTTGCAGCATCCCTCAACCCCACTTTAAATATGCAGTCATGCTATTTATATGGGGAAAAGAAGTAGACGGCTATGTGAAGGGATTCTGGCTGAAAGTGAAACGTACACACAAAAACAAATCTAGTTTTGTGGTTAGTTGAAAATTCACAGCTGGTATGGGCTTTTCTTTCCATTTTAATTAAAGTGTTTCTCCCTCCCATACAATGAGAAAATGCTCTTTTAGTGTGGATTGAAAGACCAAAGTCGGAGCAAAAGCTGTTTGAAAACTCTGAGGCTTAAGTAAAGCTGCTTTAAAGGCTTCTGTGTGTACCAAACAACTTGGAAGTTTCTTAACAGGATTTTGTAGCACTCAGGAAAATCTTTCTCCTAATTACTTCCCTTCTTTGCTCTCCTACTTTGGTCAAAACGAAAATCAAGCAATGCAAAGGTCACCCAAGTAGCCAGGAAAGAAAAAATTACACAGATATACATGCACACTTTAAAATTAAAATTATATTTAAATAACTAAGCAAAATTAGTCATGTAACATACATTAATTATATAAACCATTATTTCTTTTGGATGCATTTTAAAATGTGATAATATTAGATAATATGAGATTCATATAAACTTAGGTTTATGTAAATTTTTTAAATTTACCATCAAATAGCATATAAACAGAGTTTAGAAGGGGATGGAATCAGATGTGACAAGGGTAACATTTGTTGCTGTGATGAGAGAGACTACCCTGTCAATCATCTACCAGGGTTTCTCCTGCTGTTTTTACCTCTTGAACCCTTTCCCTGAAGGAGTGGTTGAGAGAGTAGAAATAAGGCTGAGGGTAGAACAGGACCCAGCTGCTAACAAGACACTGGCAGGCAGGCAGCCGTGTAGATCAGCATCTCTCGAAATGCTTCAGAGAACCTTTATTACTTGCTTGAGCTAGTATGGTTTAGCCATTTTGGTCACTTGGAATGGACTCATGACCTAAATAACAGACTTAGAGCTTATTGGAGTCTGAAGGTAGAAAGTTTACCTCCAGTGAAGGCACTGGAGGCCTTGGTGGATTCCCTTTGGTTTCTCCTCAGAGGCAGGATGCATCCTGATTTCTTACAATACCTGATATTGCCATTTCTCCACACTGCAGAGCAGCACACTGGCCATTTCCAATAAGAGTACATGTCTTATTTTCCTAATTTATTCCTAAACTACAAATGTTAGACCCTGGAGAGTGGAGAAAGAAAGGATGTCTACAAATGGCCTGAAAAATAGTGACAATATGCATGACAAAAGCTTCTGCATGCAGCATGAGGTTACTGAAATGCATACATGAGCTGGCAGAGACCATTTCTAATACAAAATATAGAACCTTTACAAATGTAGAACACTGCCTGAAACCTTTCTAATGTGGCAGATGTATAACTCATATGTAAACTGAACTTCAAACTAGGACATTTCTGAGAATATAAGCACAGTAAGAAGAAAAAATTATGCATTTCAGGCAGGTGGTTAAACAATACATATTTAAAAAATATAAAGAAAGCATTGTCAAAATAATAATCACACTAGTGATTTGTAGGCAGGTTGGCACAGCAGTACAGCTGATTATTTGATCTTGAAAGCTCAACATTTCATTTTGGTCTGAGGTAGAATAGACATTTACAAAGGGCAGTGTAGCAGTAGAAATTGAAATCTGTAGTCAAATTGCTTGATTTTGAATTTCTACTCCACATAACTACTGATATAATCTTGGGACATTTTCTTAACCCCTCTGTGCTTCAGTTTCCTTATCTGTAAGGGGGAGAGAGTAACAGTGGAGAGTAACAGTACTTCTACTATAAGGCTGTTGTGAGGATTAAATGAGATAATTCATGTAAACAGCTTAACACAGGACCCAGCACACAGTAATGCTAGTGGCGATTAGTGTTATGACTGTCGTCATTCCCAGGGCCAGGGCAGTTCACTCACCAAGATGAGTGTCCATCACCTTTGCACAGTATTTGCACATAGCATCCAGGTCATTCAGCTGTCCTTGAAGGAAGGAAATTTGGGCTTCTAATTCTTCTTCCTGAAGAAGGGATAAAGATATGGAAATTTAAAAACTAAACTAAAATAAAATAAAATCCCGCCAATTCACTAAATGTTCTGGACTATTTTAAGGAGGCACAATCTCTTTTTAAATCTAGACAAAGCAAAAGAAAACAGCAAGTAAACAAAAACAAACCCACCATTGCCACCACCAACAGAACAGAAAAAGGGAAAAATGGAGATCTAAAAAACCTGGACTTTTCCTAGTTGAATTCTAGCTTTGTGCCACGTGTAACTGTTTGCACATAAAATGCTGTATTAAAGAGCACATAAAATATCTTCGATAAGTATTGAGCGACAAAAATTTAGAGGGTAAATTGGATTTCACTGGTCTATACTTCCTAGGCAGCTAGTACAAAAATATCACATTTTTTTCCTCACACACATTTAAGAAACCAAAAATTTCCATTTATGTAAGACAAATCTCATCATTTCCTAGACAATGATAATCACTTAAAACGTGAGATTTCCCAGAGCACTTGGAAAAGTTTTGCCCCAGCAGCCCATAAGTAGCTGCTCTTACATTTCCTCTCTTGATATGACACTAGAGTATTTTATTTATTTGTTTCTAGGAAAAAGCACTCTGGGTTGAATAATTAGCTAAGTTGTAAAAAACAATCTAACTGTAACAAAAGGATAAAATCTTTTTTAAAAAAAGAAAAGATAATATATGTAAAAACTTTCCCAAGGAAATTTAGAAGATTATGGGAGTTTTTCTCAGAGAAAAAGGATAATCCTCATCATTTAGGATATTTTAAACCAAGTTAGACAGAACAGGAAGAAAGGATGTTGCCAGAGCTGGAGTAGGCTGGAAAATCAATCTTCCAGTCTTAGATGCTTGTCCTTTCACATAAGACTCCTCTGTGTCATTAAGAAAAAGGAAAGAAAAACCTACTGATGTATCCTTTGTCTTAGAGAATAAGTATAATTTGATTTGTGCATGAAAATTAATAGTTGAAAAGGTTACTTGTAGGTGTAGTCCATCTTAACAATACACATAAGCAGCCTTGAAAAGTGTTGTTTTTAAATGTTGCCTGGAGAACCAGCCCTTAGGAATAGGTATTGAAATCTTGACACAGAAAACAGATGTAGCAGTATCTCTAAAAAAATAATTATTGTGAAATGACCACTGTTGGATTACACAAGCACTAACCATGATCTTTACATATGCTACAAAGCGCAACAGCCTCTCCTAAGAAGCTCAACCAAAGGATGATTCCAGGGGACGGTGGGCAGGTGGCGCTGCCTTCCTAACTCTTCAGCTGAGCATTAAGGTAGAAAAGGATGAAGTGTTTCGGGGCATTTTTATACTTCTTTTCCTGCTTTGTTTTCACACAGGCTTGAATTTCCCTGGTCTATCAGGAAACTGTAGGAATTAGAGAAAGAAGGCTACATCTGTTGGTTAACTATGGTTGTGGTTAGTCTCCAAAGATGGCCACCATCAATTCCTTTCCTCCCTGAATGTGCATGTTGCTCCATTCATTAAGAGGTAATGGTCAGGCGAGGTGGCTCAAGCCTGTAATCCAAGCACTTTGGGAGGCCGAGGCAGAAGGATCACTTGAGCCCAGAAGTTCTAGGTGACAGTGAGCTGTGATCACACCACTGCGCTCCAACCTGGGTGATGGAGCGAGACCCTGTCTCTTTAAAAAAAAAAAAAAAAAGGCAGGGGATAGTATGTATTTCCCCTTTCCTTGAATCTGGACTGGCCTTGTAACTTGCCTTGATCCAGATAATGTAGCAAAAGTCAAATTGCCAATTTTGGGCTAGTTAAGAGGCCTGCCAGCTTTTGCTTTCACTAAGAAGATAACTATCATGCTGTAAAGAAGTTCATTTTAGACTACTGAAGGAAAGGAGAGAACATATGGGAGAAAGAGGTCACATGAGAAACACTGAGGTTCTAGACATGTGAATGAAATTTTTCTGGACCTTTCAGCCCAACCCAGCTGAAGCCAGCCACGTGAGTGACCTGGTCAATACCACATGGAGCAGAAGAACAACCTAACTGAGCCCTGCCCAAATTCCTAAACCACAGACCTGTGAGAAACAACAGTGTTGTTGTCTTAAGGTACTAAATTTGGGAGTGGTTTGTTATACAGCAATAGATTACTGAAACAGTGGTAGAGTGGAAATAACACTAACTTGGCATGAGGAAATATAAGTTCTATTCTTGGTCCTGTCAATAATCAATCATGTGAACTTAAGGAATTCTCTATCTACTCTGGACCTCAATTCAGCACTCTCTGGAGAATGTAAAAGGCAGAGGCTTTGTTCCCAAGGAGTTCACAAACTGGTAGTTGGAATAAGAAAGTTACATGGTCCCTGTCTCCTATCATCTTTTCAGTTTGTCACAGACACAAACCCAAAAAGATGAGTCTAGAACCATACTGAGGCTAGGGTTTGGTGGCCTTTTAAAAGAACGCCCAGCTACGGCCTGTGTTCCACCTTACATGTGGCTACCAATTGGGATGCTGACAGCCCAGAGTGGATAAAGGGACACTAGGGATGCAATGCTTCCTGGCTTAAAGACACCTTCTCTATTTACTCTATGCATTAGTTTAATTTGGATTAGCAACTACTTCGTTTAAAATATAAAAGCCCTTGGGAACTTTAATATCCAGCAGTCATTCCTACCTAGATGGATTTCTTTTAAAAAGGAAAGCAAACTGGGAAAGAAGAACTTCAGAAGAAATACTTTAAAGGATACAGGCCCAGCCTGTTGGCAGTGAGGTGTTGGACAGCTGGAGGGAAGTATGTAGCTCAAAGAGGGCTTCTTTCTCAGAATACTTTACCGTTCTAGTAGGAACATCATCATAATAGAGTGTGATGAGACTGGGGCCCTCTATCTTGTGCAGTGCATGTGGGAGTCCTGAGAGCATGGCAGCCCAGGGCACTTGCTGGGTGAATATGCAGAGATATAAAGACACAAATTTCCAAGTTTGCAATTTTGCTTAGGGCTCTGGCAGCAACTGAAGAGCATCTTGCATGACTAAAATCCAAGTAAATCTCAATACAAACAGAATATGATTGTCTCGATATAAACAATGTATAAAAAGGTCATTCAAACCTTCTTTTTCAAAGGAGAGCTTATACAAAAGCTAAGAATATGAGATAAAAGAGGACTACTCTGATTTAAGCAGGTTGAGGGCCAAGAACCTCCTGCATTTGGAAGTTTGAAATCCAGTATATTATCCCTCTAGAGTTTGCTTAATCTTGAAACATTCCTAAACTCTTCAACTATCACTCAAACTTTATAAATAGAAATGGAAGCACTTGGAGGAAAAAGGGTGGCTTGTCATTTATTCTTTACTATATTACATAATTACAGATAAAAGAAAGAGCCAAGAATCAAGCCTCTAAAATTGTGGGAACTGACTTTACATTTCTATCTTAGCTTCTCATGATCCGTGCTCTTCCCAACTAACAATGCTTTAAACATCGACAGCTTTATTTATTTGTTTTCATTAAATTGGTCCTCATAAAATTTGTCCTCATAAAAACAAATTTCATTAAATGTGTCTCCATAAAAACAAATGCTTGGCTAACTGCCTTGAGGTATTATGAAAGCAATCACTTAGTTTAATTTTTATGTGTAAATAAGACACTGAGGAGATATGCTTTTTATATTTACTTCTGTATCTATGTTCTGCCTTCTGTTTATAAGAGTGGGTGTGGTGGGGCATGATGGAATTCTGAAGTAGACACATGGGTTCAAATCCTATTTTTCCCAGTTCCTAGCCGTATAATCTTGGACAAGTTCCTTAATTTCTTGGTTTATTCACCCCCACCTGGCAGGATTGGGGCACAAAATAAGAACACATGGAGAACACAGTGTCTGGCACAGAACAGGTACTCAATAAAGGTAATTATTCTTTCTTTTTGAAAATTTTTATAATCAAGTTAAAACAAAGAAATGAATTTTAAGTATAAGGTTTTATGATATACTGTTGGAAAATACTGGTTTCCGGTTTTAAAACCTTTTTCTTTCTTTAGCCCAGAAAGATTAATTAGAGCTTAAGAGCCTATCACTGTCTTAAGTTCTGGATAGCAAATTAATGTGCACGGCAAGAAACTGATAGAGGATTATGAAGTTGGGCCACATGCAGACTACACTGTGCAACATCACGAATTGTATCTGGTAACCCTGTATAGAAGGACCAAAGGATGAAGGCCCCTCTATCAGAACTGAAGAGTAACTCTTATCTAACCCTTTTATACAGATCATAATATGCCAGACACTGAGCTTTGCATGTATTAACATATTTAATATCACAACAAACCTATAAGGTAGAAACTCTCATTATCTCCTCCATAAAACATGGTCTACTTCTCTGCAAGTGACATTCTCTGCAAGTGTATGCTAAGGTTTAGATAGCAATGTGAAAACTCAAGTCACTAGGCCCACTGCTCCCATTTCTTCCCTCTGTGCACATTCTTTCTTATGCTTAATTACTATGGTCCTTCCAATGAATAACCCCATATCTCCGTTTCCCTCAACAAAGACTTACCAGTTGTAATGAATGTTGAGTCCTAACCCTAACTTGCTTACTAACTTATTTTCCTTCGAAAACATTCAGGTATAACTGGCTGTGTTCTGTTTTGTTATTTGCTGAATGATTTTCATTTTGACCAAATTATCTGAAGAAACAGTTTTTTGAATTTGCTTTTTAAAAAGTGGT